GGGGGGGGGGGGAAGGCCTGTGTGTGTGCGCGCGTGTGTGTGAGGGTGGGTGTGTGCCATCATCGCCTGCACACGCGCACCCTCACACACACGTAGTCGGTCGATAAAGTCCGTTCTCACAGACCCTCCCCATCCATCCATGCATTCATCCAAGTTGCCGCTGCTATTCTACACCCTCCCTCCAAACCTCTTGCTTCATTCGGCAGGCCGCTCAGATTACTCTGTCAACCAATCCTCTCCTCCCTCCGCTGCGTATCTTATATATGTACACCGCCACGTACACGCCTCGCCGCCCGCTGCACTGGCCGACAAGTGAGTGCTCTCATTCATGAGTCCCCCTTGGGCTGGCCGCTCTTGGGGTCAGCTGGGGCGGATGATGCCACTGACTGCGGGGATGGGGCCACCTGCACGGCATGCAGCGCAGCCACCACACACACGCACACAGACAGACCGTCGCACATGGATTGCATGGATACAGGACCCTCCTGAGTCAGGGCTGGGTGTCGCCCGCATTCATCCATCCATCAATCCATGTGTGTGCGTGCGTATCGCACCGGCTGTTGTGCGTTAACGGAGAGGGCACATATTGACGACTTGAACCGACTCTTGTTAGAGTCATCGTCACCGAATCGGGTGCTGAGCACAACAGAGACACACACAGAGCGAGAGATGCATGTACCCGTCCGTGTGGTGTGGTGTGTAGGGTTTGACAAGGGGGCACCTCACCTGTATGCGACGTATATAATGTTGTTGGACTTCTCGTCGATCAGCCGCCTCACCTTAATGCTCTTGAATAGCAAACTGAATACACACACACACAGTCACATACCCCGGTGTGTGATGTGATCTCTATTGGGGTTTCTGCCATTGGACCTTCTGGCCTCAGAGATGACTTCTTCGCCGTCCTGACGTGACGAAGGACCAAAGAAGACCAAAGACACACATGGATTAATGTAGCAATACAAATTACATATTCATGAGGTCCGCTGCCCACCTTTGATCGACTGGCTGACGGCGATATCCTGACGGACAGACAGAGGGTGGGATGGCCGGCCGATGGGTCAGACACACAAGACAGACAGAGTGTGCCGATGTGCTTCCATGAGCGTCGCCCTTTTCTTTCCATCCTCACTTGACGGGCCCTGATTGTGCACATGTCAGAGATACCGATGTCGGGTCAGAGAAGAAGTCCTTCTGAAACCTGCACACACACACTCACACACACACACACACACTAGCAGATTTGTCATTTGGATGGGCATGAGGGCATCCAGACCTCTCTGTGATGGGCCTTGCAAAGTCGGCAATGTAAATCGTGACGCCCTCGACCTTTGGGTCGCTCCACGCCTCCACGTTGAGGGTGTCCTTGAAGATCAGTCCACTGCCGGCGATCTCGCCCACCAGCCGCTTCTGCACACCACAATACACTCAACATACATAATACAATATACACATCAGACGGGCGAACGAACAGGTGTCCGTCCGTGTGCATCACCTCAGCTGCTTGTGCGGTGCCGATCTGTGCGACTTGGGGCGAGTCGGCGAAGGGCACCGTCGTGAACAGGGTGAACAGGGAGAGCATCACTAAGCCACGGGGGGGAAGGGAGAAACCTACACACACACATACACACACATATACACACGCACATATGGAACGTGTCGGCTCCCCTCCCCCCCTCCCTCCCTCAGTAGTCACCTACCTTTGAGCAAGTTCTTGAAGGCCATCATGATGCCCCTGTTGTTCTCTTCATCTCTTTGGTCGCTCCCCCTTCCCTTGGTGCCGAAGAGCTGCAGAAAGGCCTCCCACCCCGACACGTCCCACTCCTCAACGTGCTCAGTCACCACCAGACGGCCGCTGTCGGCGGGGTCTGACGCGAAGTAGTGGGTGGTGCCGCCGCTAATCGACACAAGGGGCCGCCATGGGAGCTTCTGCACACAGACGCACGCACACACACACACACACACAGAGAGAGAGAGAGAGAGAGAGGAAATGGGGGCGGCGCGCGTACAGAGGGACGGGGAGTGTGTTTGTGTGAGTGATGGGATGGTGACCGACCAGTGTGACGGAGAGAGTCCACTTGGTTTGGATGGAGGAGCCCTCAGGCGACACACGGATGTCCTGCAATGAGTGTGATGAGCACACACACATGCAGCAGCCAGTCGATCAGCGTGTGTGCAGTGCAGTGCTCCTCTCCCTCCCTTCTTCCCCTACCTGAAGGTCGAGCCTTCTGTCTGTCGTCAAGAGCTTCAAAGAGGCGATGTTGCGCTTCCTGACCCAACCACAACACAAACGATGCACAGCTAGGTATCTTTATGTCCACACGTGTGTGTACTTGTGTCGCCTGACTGACCATGTCTGCAAGCCTTTAAAGGAGATCGTTGGGTCGGTGAACACGCACTCATCCGCATAAAGCGAATCGTTGATGTCACCTGCAGTCAGACAAGCACATCCACAGACGACAGGCAGGCCTCTCCCGTCTGCACATACGAATATGTGGTCTTCAGGTGTGCGTGACGTGCCTGTGAGGAAGTAGGCCCGCTGTGTGTAGTCTTCTCGGATGGCCTCCACCAGATCTGCCGTCGATGACACGCCAGATCGGCCCTCACCACCACTCACAGCAGCGGCAGAACGGCCCGGCTTGTCTGCCCCCGACGAAGTGGCGTCCTGCACACACAGCAAACCGCCCAGCAGCCAGCCACTGCAGCACACCCACAACTTGCACGTCTGCAGTGTGCTCGGCTCACGGCAAACGAATTCAGTCCACCGGTGAGGGCTGATACCACGCCTTTCAGCACAGTGGGTGTGTTGCCGTACGTCCCTGCTTTGCTGCCGTCTTGCTCTCTCATCGACAGCAGCCTCTGCCGACGTCTGGAGGCCGCGTGAGTGCTGCCTGGGCGGATGGAAGGCCGAAAGGCATTGGTCACCGGCGAGATCAGCAGCAACACATGCACGTACGAGATTGAAATGAATGCCATTCCGAACAACATCAAGCCAGGTTGCAAAAGATCTGCAGCAGCGGTCTGCACCTTGCGTCTGCGAGCTAAGCCAAACCCCGCACCCCAGAAACCCTCAGACCGAATGAGAAAAAATGAATGGTGTGGCGAATGGGCTTGAAAGCAGCGGCAGGAAAGCATCGGGAAAGATGCCTGCAGTCCCTGTGCCCATCTTCGATGAGTCGTCCTACCTGAAGGCGATGAGGGACAGGCGAGGATCTGCCAAGATCTATGCCATGTACTCGAGTGTGATCGGTGGCATCGTGACAGACACAAACCTCATGAGCGTTCCCATTGATGACCACTGTAAGCCAAGCCATGACCACACACACACACACACAGCCCGGCCTTTTCACACATCGTTCTCTGCTCGTGCAGTGGTGCACCGCGGCCACGCAGTGTTCGACACGTGCTCGCTCTTCAATGGCAACCTCTACAGAGTGGACATCCATCTGGACCGGTTCCTCAAGTCGGCAGCCACCGCCCGCATTGCCCACAAGTGGACCAAGGACGACCTTCGCTCCATCATCCAGCAGACGGCGGCCGCCAGCGGCAAGAAAACCGCCAACCTGAGATACTGGATGGGCGCGGGGGTGGGCGGCTTCGCCCTGCACCCGGCAGAGTGCCAGTCGGCCTCCCTCTATGTGGTGGTGTGGGGATCGCACCCCGCCCACTCGGCTGGCGAGGAGACTCTCGACTTGCGTCAGGGTGAGGGCATCCGGGAGTTCACTGTGAGTGTGCCGATGAAGCCAAAGCTGCTGGCGACGATGAAGAGCAACAACTACCTTCTTAATGCGCTCATGTCGATGGAGAGCACCGAGAAGGGAGGGCGGTATGGCATCCTCACCTACGACGGCAAGCTGGCCGAGGCGGCCGTGTGCTGCGTGGGGGTGCTGACCAAGGACAAGGAGTTCCTTACGCCGCCATTCGACTGCATCCTGGCGGGCACGACGGTGCGGCGGTGCATGGACATTTGCCGCGACATGTGTGCCAGTGGCGAGCTCAAGGACGTCCGGCAACAGGAGGTGCCCCTGGACACCGTATACCAGGTCACACACACACACACAGACACAGAAGCGACATCGACAAACATCTGTATCTCTCTCTGTGTATGGTATGTTGTGAGAGTGCAGGCGGAGGAGTTGCTGATGCTGTCGGGCGACTGGCACGTGGAGTCGATCGTCGAGCTGGACGGACGGCCTATCGGCACGGGCCAACCGGGCCCACTGGCGAAGCGTGTCCGTGACACAATTATGCGGGAGGCCAACGAGGGCACACATGACTGCCACCCAGTGCCTTACCATCTGTACAGCCGACAGTGAGTGGTTGTGTGGGGCTTGGGTGACGGTTATCTTCCTTCCCTGTCGAAGCGGTTTTTGTCTGATCGGATAAGATAAATGGGTTTTGCAATAGCCGGCCGCATTTGAGCATTCGGGAGGGAGTGATGGGTTGAGGGAGGGAGGGATGAGAAACACGAACATGCATTGAGTTGAAGGAGGCGAATCCCTACTCAGTTTCACCCCACAGCTGACTGACCCGGCCCACTTCATTTCTCAGTCGGCAAAATAGATAGGTAGATGGATCGATGGACCAATGGACGACGCACGCCGGTTGGGCAATCTTTCTCCCTCCCTGCGTAATGCAATCAATCAGTGACACGAATAATCAGCAGCTCAGCTGCCTCGCCTCGCCCTCCCTCCCTCCCTGCACCCATTACATTAACACATTCGCCAGTCAGTCAGTCCATGCTTCCCCTTTCACTTTTTCTGTCGGCAGCAGCTCTTCCTGTTGACCACCAGCCCCTTACCCAACGCCTCCCTCGGCACCGGGCCCGTCATGCCATTGTCACTCATCCACTCACTCACCGCACTGTCCGTCAGGTCCTTCCGGGCCGCCATGGCAATCTGCTGGGGGATAGCGGCTCTCGTCGCCTCTCGGCTGCCCTTGGCCACCTTGGACTTGCAGCTGCAGGGGCTGTTCTTGACGAGGCATGACGAGCTGCCCCTTCTGCGCATCGGTCGGGCCGACACCGCACGCACCCCCGGCAGGTGATCGAAGGACATGGAGGCTGTCGGACGAGAGGAGCGCATCATCTGTGGCCCAGGAGTTGCCGAACGGAACTCGTACACGGGGTATCGGCCGGCCAGCTGCTTCACCCACTGCTCGTAGGTGAGACCTGTGGCGGCTGGGAAAGGCGACGCGGCACGGTACTTGCCGACCACAGCACCTGGACGTCCTGAGAGCGGGAGTGCCGCTGGCTGGCCCGGTGGGAAGGGGCCGATAGCGGTGGCTGTGGGGAGGGGGATCTGTGTGGTGGCTTGGAGGGCGGGAGGGAGGTTGCCGGGGGCGCCGACACCGGGTACTGGCCCTGCCGCTGTGATGCCTCCTGGTGGGGAGGAAAGGGAGGGCTCTTGCTGGGTGGCTGGAGGCACGCTCTTGCTCACACCTGGAGGGACACCTGGAAAAAGGATAGAGACACAACAAACCAATGAGGTCACATACATTTGTGCACGCACATTTCTGTCTCAACCAAGTCCATACCAGCAACAGGGACCTGCTGGGTCACTTGACCTGGTCCAGCCGCTGCACCGGCTAGTGCAGCAACACCCGGCTGCTCTGGCTCGACTGCAGCAGCCCCCTGCACAACTGGAGATATACCTGCAAAAGACACAGAGACACGGCACGGCCATTGCAATGAGGGCGCGGCGCGGCGCATGTGGGTGTGGTCTGGTGTGTTCGTTTCACTTCCCTCCCACCCCACCAGGCAGAATGATTTGTTGGCTCACTGCACCGGCTGGCCCTGTGGGTGAGGGGAAGGATAGCTCGGGGCCCGAAGGGACGACCTCACCCACGCCCCCTGGAATGACGCCTGGGACACCTAGGACACCTGCCAAAAAAGGCAGACACGGCAATGAGCTCACCTTCCAAACACCACACCCTCTGTTTGTGCCCTACCAGCAGCCGGAGGGAAGATCATCTGCTGGCCCGCCGCCCCTGGTGCAAGTGGGGTAAGGCCACCAGCAGCCGGCGGCCCTGCCTGCCCGGCTTGACCTGACTGAATCTCGAATCGACTCTGATATGTCCTGCCATACGGGGCCAGCTCGATCATGTGACTGGCACTGCGGGCGTGTGCGAGGCCTCTCTCCTCAGGCGACAGCAGAGGGACTCCCCCCAGCCCAGGAATGGCCTGCGACCCATGTCGTGCTGCAGCCAGGTCGTGTGGTGGAGGTACGAGGCCGGCCGCCATGGCTGCAGGAGACACCCCTGGTGGGAGCGGTGGTTGGCCTTGTAGTGGGGCGGGAGGCGGAGGGACGACGGCGATGCCGTCTGGGCCTGTGACTGTTGGTGGGGCGACTGGGAAAGGAGGCACACTCCTGCTCACACCTACCAGACACATATCAATCAACATCATGACTCCCACACGTAGTTGAGTGCCTCTCCCCTGCACACCTACCTCCGGCGGCCATCTGGTCGCTCCCCCCGCTCGTCGCCGTGAGGACCGTGCCCTGGCCAATCGACGTGCCGCTCGGCATCGCGTGCAGCGCACTGGGAACAGCCTGCAGCCCTCCCGGCGGAACTCCCAGCAGCTGCTGCTGGAAGGCCTTCTCGCTTGACAGCTCAAGCGACTGGCTGGAACTCCTCATCTGTGCAAGACTGCGCTCGTCAGATGACAGCAGGGGGCCACCCGGGCGCGCGGCCATGGCTAAGGGGTGGACGCTGTGACGGAACGCCTGCTGACGAGCAGTCTCCTCAGGCGACAGCTGCATTGATTGGGGTGGTGGTGGTGGTGGGACCATGATGCTTGCACGGGCTGGCTGCTGTTGCATGAGCATCATTGGGTCTGGTGGCGGCATCATCATCATGCTCTGGCGGCGCTGCTCCTCGAGCATGGTCTGACGGGCCTGCTCGTGAAGGATACCTGCCTGCAGCTGCATCAACGGCCACACATGGGGAGAGCTGGGCGGATGGCTTCTTTCTCTCTCTCTCTCTGCGTGTGCGTGTCTTGTGTGTTATACGGATGGGTGTAGTGGTGGCGGCTCTATGGGCGGCGCGCCCTCTTTGAACGGGTCGATTCCCTCCTCCCCCTCCTCGCTGATCATCATCATCGACGACGCACGCTTCTCTATCATCTCCTCGTGAGCCAATCGCTCCTAATGCACGTCAAGACAAAGTGAAGAAACCACACCCCGCTGACGACATGCATGCCTCCCTCCCCTCTCTGTTTTACCATGAGTTGTCTGCCCTCTATCTCGAGGAACACGGTGGCCCGTCTGACGTTCTGCTCCTGCAAGTACAGGTTGTTGACGCGTGCCTGCGTCTCCCGCACCAGGGCCGCCCTGGCCTTGGCAGCAGCCTGGGGCGACACCGGGTAGCCCCCCTCGTCCACAGTCTCCGCCCCGTGCTTGTCCTCCAAGTGGGCCTGCAGCAACGACATCGGCCGGCAGCACTGAGCGACGGATTTGGTATGTTGTGTGCTTGGTGTGTAGGCTGACCATGAGTTGTCTGAGTCTTTCCTCTTCCAGTTCTCTCGCCCTTCTGAGGCCCTCTGCGTTGTCACCCAGCTCTCTCATTCGCCGGCGGTGCTCCTCGATCAGTCGCATCCGGCGGGCAGCCGCAGACTCACGATCGTGACGCCGGATCTGCATGTGAGCCTGCATTGCACACCACACAACAGACAAGGAGAAAGAAGCGAACCAGAGTGGCTCTCGGTCTGTTGGTTCGCTCTTGGATGGTACCTCGGCCTGTCTCTGTCTCTCTTCTGCAAGTGCGGCCGCCCGCGCCATGGCCTCTTGTCTCTGTGCATCGACTTCGGCCGCCCGCCGCTCCTTCTCCTCCTGCAGACGCCTCAGACGCTCGGCCGTTTCACGCTCCTTCGCCTCGGCCTTGTCCTAGTGCCAAGAAACACAGACACACGCCTACCACATCACGTGTGTGACGTGACAAGACACACATGCGGGTCGGGTGGCATGTGCATTTCTCTCTCTCTGTCTGCTTACGATGAGTGCCTGCACTCGCTGGTCCTCCATCTCCCTCTTGCGTCGCTGCACCACACTGATACGGCGGAAGTACTTCTTCATCTGGTCCCTCGTCATGCCCTCATCCGGCGTCGCCTCGGGTGCCTGAATCGTCACGCCCTTTTTGAGAGACCCGCCCACCCGAGGAGAGCTGGCCGCCCGCGGCGAGGCCCCTGCCAGTGCAGACCGGGGGGAGGCACCTGGCACTCCCCCTGCTGCACGTGGTGACGGCCCCTGGCTCCTCGACAACTCCTGGAATCTGATGGCAGCTGCTGGGGCGGGGGTGGAGGCCGCCTTGGGCCGCTTGGCCTTGGTCGCCTTGCCGATTGCCGTCTTGGCCGCTCTGCCCGCTTCCCCTCCCGTCAGCTTGACAGAGGCTTTGGGCGTGCCTTTGGGCTTGGCTTTCGGCTGAACACACAGCGTGTTACATCATCGAGGAGTGGCGACGAAGGAGAGATGTGGCGCCTTGTGCAAGGCGGCCAAAACGTGCTTGTTTCTTACCCTTGTACTCATTCTGACTGCGTTGACTGCTCCTGTGCAGAAAGGAAGGGGGACGAAGGGAGAGCGTTTTTCAAATGCAAGCTCGAAGCTCGCGAGTTTGATTGAATCCATGCATACATACGCCCGGCTGAATGTATTTCACGTACAGGCATGTGCTTGCACACAAACGCGTTCATGGCCATGGATGAATTCATTCCCAAAATTAATGTTGCAAAGCCGTCTAAGGCGCCTGGCCATCAAGCACGATCGCGGCAATTGGCCCGAGGACGCGACAAACCTTGGCGGCCGTCCGAGGGAATCGCTGTGCGAAGAACGCGTCATGGGGGACACCTGCTGCTGGCGCCTCGCTATTAGTAATCTTGACGTGAACTGCTTTTGTGCAGACAATAGCACAGCACAGGATCAGACGATACGACAGCCTGAGGATGGGTTGTCAATGTGCATACGTACCGCTCTGGCTGTTGCCTGGCTGGATGCCAAAGTTAATCCATGCGATGAACGGATCGGCAGCCGTAATGAGCATATGCACCTGTGTACACCGCCCATTCGCCGCCTCCCATGTCAGCACATCCGAGGATGAGTTGAGGGCCGTGTGCGGCGATTGGGTGATGATGCGGTCGAAGTGGCCGCCACGTACACTCCTGACACACACATCAGTAGCGCACCACATAGCCATTTGCCCTCTCATTGCGTGTCTTCCATCCACCACTCACCCTCCACCACCACTGCTGGCGAGTAGGTGAAGCCGCCCACAGCCAACAGCCGGTGACGCAGCACCAGACGCTTCAACACGGAGCTCGCCGAGGCGTAAACATGCCCGTCGTTGACACGAAGCGTCATCCAGCCCACACCAGGTTGCCACCGGATGCGGCAGCGGACTGGCGGGTCGTGTGGCTTGGCGTGGTGGGTGAAGGGGTGCTGCGAGAAGGGATGGATGGGGCGGGTGGGCTGGGGGAGGGGCGGGTTGAGGGTGATGGTGAAGCCGGGCTCGTTGCGGATGATCCGGATCTCGATGTTGCTGTGGCGGAACAACTGAAGTGTGCCGTCTTGCTGGCCGGTGGGGCGGCGGAGGGCCACATGGCGGCCGACGATCATCCACTGCGCACAGAAACGGGGCAGCGCCAAGAAATCCTGAATGAAGAATACACACACACATCCAACAGCCCACCCATTGCCTCTTCTGTGTGTCGTGTTTACCGCCTTGGTGGCGTGTGCCTGTAGATCCGCAGCACCCACAATGACCGGCAGCTGGCAATTGCCGCACCGCTCGGCGACTCTGAGTGTGTCGGCCACCTTCCCCCCAGCCGCCCTCGCCCCCCTCCTCCACCACCCACATGGCCTTCATCACATCGCCGTCGCTCAGCTTATCGCCGAACCGCACCACACCGCCCAGCCCCGCCACCTCGATGGCCATTCGCAGCCGAAAGCGGCGCACGATCGGCCGGAGGGCATTCCTGATGGGTCGGGCTGTCGATTTGAATCGGCCAATGGTCGTGAGGTCAGACAGCGCGATGACGATGCTCATGGGGTCGGCAGGGATGTCTGTCAGATGCAACCGCTGAACCTGAAGTGATACAGACAGACATGTGTCCATCACGCAGCCACGTCCTTATGGCTCTCATGTTGGTGTAGGCGTGCACTTTCCCACCTGTGCGCGTGTGTGTTGTGAGTTCGAAGGTGGAGTCGATGCCGTCCGCCAGCTCGGCTAGACGGGCGGATTCGTTGGCGAGTTGACGACTGACCTTGGCCACCATCTGAAGAATGAATGAATGAGAGCATCATGACACAGGGGTGAGTCTGTGGTGTACTGACTGGCAGTCTGTCCGCACCAGTGGTGTGATCATAGCGGTGCCCATCTGAGAGAGTCGGTCGATGGAACTGTTGACCTGAGCGTCACACAAGACAACACAAAGCAGCCAACCGATGACTGATGGATGGCATTGCACTGAATGAGTGAGTGTGCTGATTACTTGCCTTCGCCTGATTGGTCTGAAAGGCTTCTACCTGGGACAGCAGCTTCTCCCACATCGCCGCCATTGACATCTGAAGAGCGTTCGCAGGACAAACAACACGATTAAACAGAGCCCAGCGCAGCCGCTTCGCACAGCCGCGATGTACCACGTGCTTTGCTTGGCTCCTCTTCTCTCACCTCATGCTGTTTCGACATTCCTACAAGCTCTACACGCCTTCTCTCCACCTTCTCCCGTTCCCTCGTCGCAGCAGCGGTTTCGCGAGGATTCAGGGAGCGGTTTCACGCGGCACCCTAGGCGGCCTTACAGCTTGAAGTCAGAGGGAGATCCCGCCCAAAACTAATTGCGGCACGATGGGCGACGACTCTGCTGCTTCAGAGTACCACGTGCTTGAGTTTTCCTACGATGATCAGAACCTCCGTCTGCAGTCGACATGGCCCGGCCCTTTCCCCGACCAACTGCCCGCCAACCCGTCGCATGCCATCGCCACACTGCTTCTCTACGACGGCCAGCGGTTCTACTCGGGCAAAATCGAGCGCGGAGATCTGAGTGAGGACAGCCATGGCAGCGGTCTCATCTGGGACGACCAAGCCACCCGACAGAAGCTCGTCGACGCCCTGTCGGTATCGCAGCCTGACGCCTACCGCGTGGAGCCTTCCTTCGCCCCGCCCTCCCCCTACTCGTCCCACCACACGTGCGTCATCAAGGTGGGGCACGGCCAGAAGCTCACCGGCCAGCGGCAACCGTACTTCAGGACCATGACGCGCGACATCCACCTGTCGGAGGAGTCCAACCACGCCGCCATCGACCGGCTCTTCGCCATGCATCTCGCCGCCCAGGAGAGCAACCGGCAGCGCCAGAGCACCCTCACCGCCGGCCACACACTGCTCATGCACAACCTCGGGAGGCGCCTGAGGGACGGCGCCAAGGGCGGTGAGGCGGGCGAGGCGCACAAGCATCACATGATGGTCAAGTTCGCGGCCATCCTCAACGACAAGAAGGAGAAGCTGCGCGGGCTCAAGCATGAGCGTGACGAGCTCGTTGATGAGAGGGTCAAGCAGGAGTCGGATGACGACAGCGGCGCGCGGGTGAAGCGGGAGGCCGGCATGGACGGTGACGATGCTGACGACACTGAGGAGGAGACCCGCAGCGGACGGGCCAAGACCAAAGCCAAAGCCAAGGGGAAAGCAAAAGGTGGGTAACACACACGACAATCACCTCACCGGTGCCGTCATCTCACTGCTGCGCTCCTGTGTGTGTGTGTGTGTGCGTGTGTGTGTTGGTTCAGGCAAGGCCAAGGCCAAGGGCAAGGCGAAGGGCAAGGGTCGCGCCAAGGCCAAAGCCAAGGCCATGCGGCGCCCGCCCTCCTCCAACATCGATGACAACCGAGACGACATGGACGACATGCGGGCCCCCGGACGCCGCGACGACCAGGACGATGACGACTTCTTCAACTTCGGAGGGATGGAGATGGACATGGACATGGACGACCACCGCCCGCCAGTCCCCTCACAGCCCATCGAGGAGGACATGGCGGCACCCCCACCTGTGCAGGAGAGTGCGGGCCTGTCCCACCTGCTTTCCGGTTCGGCGCCCGTTGGTGTGACAGTACCCGACCTGCCGCGGCGAGGGGCGCCTGCTGCTGCTGCCGCCGCTGCTGCGGCAGCTGGTCCGGCAGCAGCAGCAGCAGCATCAGGGTCTGGGAGGGATGATGGTGGTGGCGGTGTTGATGGTGGGGGTGAGGACAGCGATGCGACGCAGAAGGAGGAGAGTGAGGATAACCAGGAGAAGACCGCCGACGACCTGCTGGACGACATCTTCTCGTAGATAGAGGGAATGGGGGGCAGACAGACAGACAGACAGATCGAGGGAGGGAGGGGGCTATCGGAGCGGCTGTTCTGATCGATCATGAGGGTTGGCGCTGCCTTCCGTTGTTCTCCATCCTGTAAACAACGCAGCGGCTACGTTTGCTCAGACGCTCGACGGAGTGGCGTCTGGAGGAGTCGTGGCCGGTGGGTTTGTGGACAGGAGGCAGACACAAGGAGGCCATGCCATGTGCAGGCAATAAATACCACAGACTAAGGATGCGTGTGCTTGCGTGTGGGTGCGTTGTGTGTGGTGACGATGTATGCCAACCATGTGTGTGTACAGACAGACACTTCTCGATTGTACATGCGATGCGCACGTCAATCAACCAATGACACCAGCAGTTGATTGAATGGAATGTATGTGTGTGTACCGTCGACGCACTCACTCTCGTCTGTCGGTCTATCCAGGCCAGTCAATCACTCAGGAACAACAGCCACACACACAGACAGGAGCCGTCACAGCCTCTCTCAGCTCAAGCTCGGTGCGTCAGTTGTGCGTCAGTCCGCCCCTCATCCACCCACTGACCAGCCCCGCCGCATCATCCAGCCATCCATTCATCCACCCGTCACTCGCTCATTCAAGTCTCATCTGCTTTCGCGGCTCTCGGTTGGCCGGGGTGAGTGGCGGTGTGGTTGTGCGAAATACGGTGGCCGACGCCTTGTCGAAGGTCAATGGCGACCGGCACTTGGCCTCGTGTAGTGTGTTTGAGATCAGCTCGGGCACCACACCCTGCCGGCATATCATCTTCTCGTCGGCTGATGCAACATCATCAATCCAGGCAGAGACACGACACACAGGTATCACGGTGCTTGGCGTCTCTCTGAGAGCGTACCTGCGCGAAGGTTCTCGTTGAAGGTGGGTGCCAACACAAACCTGCAGAACGGCCAGGATGCGTCTCGTGTCTGCCTTCTTGTCTGGCTAGCTTTGTGTACCGCCGCAGCGCCCTCGACTTGGTCGGTTTGAGCCGCCCCGCCGTCTTTGGCCTTTCGGGCGGCACGCCCTTGTGAGCCAACGACACCACACTCATGCCTAAAAAAAGAGACGGATATATAATGAAATGAACACACAGCAAGAGCTGAGCTGGGTGGCAAGGCAACCACATGAGAGGAAAGCCTAAGTGTCGAGTCGACTGAATGACCTGACCTCTCTTTGGTGTCTTGGCCGTCTTGACTTCTTTGAGCAGATCAGAATAGTGCGGCTGGTGCGTGGGAGACACGACAGCCGCTCCTGCACACAGCCGGACACACCATGCAAAGCCACGTGTGTCTCTCCTTTCTCTTGTGTGGTCAGTGACCCGCATCGTCGAAGACGATCATGTTGACGTTGCTGGTGGGGGACGCCACGCTCTTCTGGCGCAAACTGATGACCACAACAAACAGAAAATTCATGGCTTGTTGGATGTATTGTGGCTGCATCTCACTCACAATGTGAGCCGCTTGTGCAGCCTCTCGTAGTCCGACAAGGTGGGCCCGTGCTGCACACCACACACACACACACACGTGCAATGGACCAGCAAATTCCCCCTATCTGGTGTCACCTTTGCGAGAATCGTCCGGTACACGTCGATGGCCTCGGCAACTCGGCTCGCATTCCGCCCCGCGAAGTCGTCGGCAATCAGCTGACGATCCACCCTGTCCAGGTGCTGACGCACCTCCTCCACACGAAGCTCACACTGACAACCATACAAGACGCAAGGCTGACATGTGTGGATTGGATGGACTTGTGTTTCCTTATCGGATACCCACCCGTGCCTGTGCGAATTCGGTGTGTGCTCTCTCGTTGGCTCTGAGGATGAGCGCGTCATGCTCGGCTCTCGCACGCTTCAAATGCCGCTCAAGCTGACCGCTCACCGCCTGCATAAGGACACGTGTGACGGAAGGTCACCCACCAGTGCCATATATGCGCGACTCGACTGACCTCTCTCTGAATGATAGCGACCCGTTTGTGCTCCTGCCTCATCCGCTCCCGCTGCCTGTCGGTCATGAACTGGTGCTGTGCCGTCCGGATGAGGTTGTCTCGAATCCCTGCCGCCTCCGAGAGATGTGTCCTTGACATCATCACCTTCTCACCCAACGTCGCCTCAACTGCACAAACACGACCGAAAACACCGAAAACACGCATGCCACCCCTCTCTGCCCTTCCCCCACTCATAACACTCCGCCCCTCACAGTCGATGGCATTGAGAGCCTCTATTCGCTGGGTGATGGGGCTGCCTGGCCGCGAGAGGGTCTGTGTGACGGGCGATGTGGGCACGGGGGAGAGGGTGGGGCGGCTGCCGGGGCGGGTGGATGGCGAGACGGAGGACTTGGACGCTGCAGGTGCTGTAGCGCCGGGAGGGGTCATTGACCGGCTGTTGCTCGCTTTGGGGCTGAAAGCCATCGCGATGGACGCTCACAACTGAGCAGGATGCACGTGTTTTGGGGAGAAAAGGGGAAGAGCAGCCTCCCCAACCTGCGAGCTGAGATTGCAGGAGGAGATCTCATGTAGATTCAACCTATCGTCCGGACAGGACACATGTAGATTTGTTTATGCGTGTCAGTGTTGGCGTGGGACGAACTCACAACCAGGCGTCAGCTGCCCCACGTGTAACAACTTAAGCGGTCATCCATTCACCGTCCGTCCGTCCCCGGCCTGCCTAACTAGACGTCGAACGACTCAAAGCTCTCAAACTGTGCAGCCTGAGCTGCGGCCTTCATGGCCTGCTCAAGAGATGCACCCGCCAATCCAGAGGCTGCCCCCTCTGCCTCTTGTCGCTCCTCTTCCAGGTCATCAGCCGCCGCACACGCCAGCCTCTTGGGCTGCTTTGCCGCCGGCGGACCCTCACCGCCCGCACCGCCCTCGGCTGACGGTTCTTCAACAGCTTCTGGTGCCTTGTCTGCTGCTGCCGCTGTGTCGGGTCGTTTCCTCTTGTTTGCCTTCTTTGCATCGGCCTCTTGCTGCCTCTGCTCGAGGGTCCGCCTGGCCTCCTCGAAGACGGTCGTGCACTGGGCTTTGAGGTCGTCTGTGGCGAGCAGGTCGGCGGGGGTCTCCTGCTTGGATGTGACTGCGGCCGTGTCGGCACCTGACCATAAACAAGGGAGAGGAGGCGTGAACAGGGGCGCTTCTGTCCCGAGATCTCGAATGGGTCTTCGTATCGTACCGGCAATGACGAGAGCCTTGGCCACTTGAAGATGGCCCTTCTGACACGCCAAGTGCAGCTGTGGCCGACAGACACGTACAGTACGCACACCCGAGTTTGTACATCAAGGCCATCGATGCGCATCGCATCGCGTCCCCTTTCTTTCTTTTGGGCTCACCGGTGTCTTCTTGCCCTTCATCACTCTGTCCACATGCGCCTTCTTCGACAGAAGCTGCACACACACACACCGCGTGCCACCACACACACGAATGAACGCACAGTAGGTCAGTAAGACCCATCCCTGGCCTGGTCTGCCTGTGTCAGCTTACGAACTCAACAACATCCAGGTGCCCCTGCTGAGCAGCGAAGTGCAGACAAGTGACGCCATCCTTTGCCTGAATGGCCGTAGAGGCGCCGTGGGAGATCAGCAGCTTGACCGCACTCAGCTGACCTGCACACACACACCACAGCACGTGTTCACCAGCCGTGGAAACGACTGAGCCATGCACTGCACCCTCGGCATGTACCAGCGTGAGCAGCCATGTGCAATGGCGTCCTGCATGAATGAATGCATCATATCGTGCACGAAGCCAACGGACAGATAACAAACAGATCAGGTGAGATGAATGGCGAATGTGCGTCATCCTGTGTGGTCTGGCCTCACTGACCTGCTGTAGTGATCTGTCCTGTTGATGAGCTCTTTCCTCGCCTCGTTGTCCTCCGCCGCATCGATGATCTCCTTCATGCCGTCCACATCGCCCTTCTTCGCTGCAACGTGCAGCCGCTCGTCATCGACTTCCTTCCCGTCCGCCATCTCTCACTTTTCCAACGTACAGTGGCTGGATAATGGAAATGACACAATTATCTCCAAAGCCACATGATCATGTGACCTATGCGCTGATTCAGCGTGGCTAAGCTCGCAAACCTGCCCCAACTCACCCCACCCTGGCCAGCATTTTTTCCAGCCATGGATTCCCGCAGCGGCAGCAGCAGTTTTCGCTTCCTCATTCCCTTCGCCGACGGCCATGCTCTCGCCTTCGCGGGCGGCCTCATCGGGCGCAAGGGGTGGCACTCGAAGATCCTCGCACAGTACGGTTGCAGTGTGGCGTCGACGGCGCAGGGCGTCATGGTGAGCATCGCTGGCGAGGCGCGTCAGATCCAGAAGGCATTGGATATCATTTTCCCCAAGCTGCTGGAGGTACGCACGTGCCAGTGCAATTGCCGGGATGCATGGATGGATGGATGGACGGACGGATGGATGTGGTGTTTGTCGGGCAGGTATCGTCGTACATGCATCGGTCATCCCGCCCTGTCTTCGTTCTCCTCATCCCCCCTCCCCAGGTGAGCCACACCACAGATTTAATGTTTGTTAAGAGAAGGAGGCAAAGTGTCGTGTGTATTGCCAGGTAGGGCGTGTGCTCGGTAAGGGCGGCTGTGTCATTCGTCGCATCTGCAAAATGTCCGACGCCTCCATCAAGATCACCCGAGGCGTACGTGCCACACACACATCCATCCACCCATATCGACGTGTGTGTGTGTTTGTATTTGTGTGTGTGTTTGGATGCATGTGTTGCAGGACGACCCCCACCCCACCAGCAGCAACCAGCGTTGCGTGCAGTGTCGTGGCAGCCTGCAGGGCATCCACAGCGCGTTCAACGGCATACTCGAGGCACTGACGATGACCACGGCCCCCGCCACGGGCGGCACGGCAGCCACGACGACCTCGGCTGTGGGTGGAGGGGGGATGGTGCAGGGGGGGCTGGGCGGAGGGGGGTACGGGTACTCGCAGCAGACACGCACACACAAGGTGGCAGGGTGGGGCGATGTACGCACAAGGGCATTTGTAAGCCATTTGTGTGTGAAGCCTCTCTCTGTCTCCCCGCGCGCGCGCATGTGTGTGTGTGTGGTTGTGTGTGTGTTGTGTGTCAGAGTGGGTATGGTGGGGGGTTTGGGTATTCTCAGTACGGTATGTCTGCTGGTGGTGGTGTTGGCGTGTGTGCGAGTGACGTGCATCCCATCTACAGCTGCGATCACACGAGGAGCGGCCAACACGCGTTCGCCAACCTCAAAATACCCGCAAACATCGCACGTGAGCCGTCCACTGGACAGAGTCGCCCATGTGTGTGCCATTGTGTTGTGTGTGTGTGATGTGTGGGCGCAGGTGTGTTGGAGGTGAGTGTGTGTGGCGGTGTCAAGTAGTGGGTGCGGCGTCTGGCCCGCCACAGCAAGACCGACATCACCATATCAGACCAGGTGCACTGCACACGGCTACAAGAAAACACACCCATCCATCCCAACACTCATGGCAGGTGCGTGTGTGTGGATGATTGCGTCAGGTTGCCGTCCAGCGTTTCAGCTATCCCTACTTCACGCTGTCGGTCTATGGAGCTACTGGTGACGTGTTCCTTGCCCGGGACCTCTTCCACCGCTGGCTCAACCACATGCACACCACCCCCACCCCCACACCCACTCCCGCCCCCATCGCTCCCCCGCCCCCTCCCATCCCACCCCACCGATACACCCACACATACACCATCGGCAGCGGCAGCAGCGGCACCATGATGGCCAGCCAGACGCTCCCGCCGCCCACCCGCAACATGACACCCATGCACAAGATGCCGCTGGTGCAGCATGCTGCTGTGGGGCATGGTGTGGGTGCTGGCGTGGGTGGGGGTGGCACTGGCAGTGTGGTGTGCCGACCGCCCCCTCCGCCCCCTCCCGGACGTGGTGTATATCGCTATGACCCACACAGCAACCGATACGCACTCTGCTACCCGCACAACACATCTACCAACACCAACACACCCCACGGCCAGACATGCCGGCCGCGGATCGTGTGATGGGTGGTCCTTGGCTGACAGAGACAGACAGACAGACCGAGACGGGGACGGGGACGGGGACGGGGAGAGATATATGGGGAGAGGGAGGGGAGGGAGAAGTTTTGTGCATGTGTGTGTGGTAGGCCGGTGCTATCGGTTTGTGCTGGGGGGCGGGGCGTCATGACTTCCTGATGCATTGAGTGCATGTCCGTGTCTATGTGCGCATGCGTGAAGGGGGTCGTGAGCTGCGGACACGAACGTAGCAGCCCGGCCCATATATTGATGTGATGAGTGACTTCGACTCTCTCTTGCCCCATTCACCAATTCATTTGGCCATTCACCAATTCATCTCGTCCGTCCAAGAAATGTCCTAAGCATCAAAGAAGCATGGAGAGGCGCACCCCCTCAACACAACACAACACAACACATCACACGCGGGACCACCCTCCAGCAAACAAGAAAGACACACACAAGCGAACGAAGCCAGCAAACCCCCCTCTCCCTCCCTCCCTCCCTCCCTCCCTCAGTGCACGCCAGCAGCAGCGGGGGACTGTTTGCCGCCGTGTCTCAGTGCGGCAGCGATGACCCCACTTGACAGCTGTCGTCTCTCTTTCCTGCCCTCCAGAATGCTCACCCAGGGCGCAGACACCGAGTAGCCATCCCAGCTTCTCTGTGGCGGCTCCTTCTGGTCGAAGGCGTAGGAGAGGTCGCCCACCACCCACTCGAGAGGCTCGTTCAACATGCTCGCGGGGATGTCCCTGCACCACACGCAGGCACATGTCCGTCCGTCCTTTGCGGGTGTGTTGGCGTGGGTGTGCGCTGCGCTTTGTGACTGACCTTCGCGCCTCGTCTGTCATGAGGTTGTAGAAGACGGGGAGGCCCAGCCGGTCCTCAAACTGAACCCAATGGCTTCGCACCTGATTGATCAAAACACACAACACACACACACACACCCCGAGAGAGAGAGAGAGAGAGAGAGGGAGGGAGAGAGAGAGAGCGAGCGACAGAGCTGAGCTTCTCTTGATGATGGGTTGTCTGTCTCTTTTGGCTGAGTGGCTTACTTTGGCGAGGACGTGCGCGGCCTCTGCCGTGGCCTTCAGAGGGCTCGCGCGGCGCATCGAGGCGGGCAGAGACACCATACCACCTAAACACAATGACGCACAAATAAGCAGCCATCCCATCCAATCAACAAGTGGGGTTTGGGGACCTTGTCTGTTGGGCAGGAAGGCCTTGGAGGCGTTGAGTGCCCGCAGTATGATCGGCACGTGCCCTCTGCGGCCTGCACACACCCTCTGGGTGTCTGTCTGTCTGGTGTTAGTGTTAGTGTGATTGTGTGGTGGCTGACGTACCGCCCTTCATGTGCAGCAGCTCGAAGCAGTTCCTGCAGAAGCTGTCCCTGCAGCTGGTGCAGTGGAACACCGCCACCTGCTGCCCACACTCAACACACATCTCAAACTCAACCTACACACAAACACACACACACAAACACACCTTTCCACCAGACCCCACACACAGAGACATCGAGAGACCGTCGCCAACCGACCTGCGTGATGTAATGTTGGCTTCTGTGTCCCTTGCTGTGTGTGGCCTCGTAGCATCTTTGGCAGAGGAGGTCCTCACTTTTGTCGCAGAACACAGTGGCCTTCTCGCGCCGACACTCCACACAGCGCAGGAGGTTGCGGACCAACTCCTGATCTACCATACGGGCGCCATGCACACACGCACAGACGAAAATACACACGCACCGCATCGCGTCGAGGCGCCTGCCCACCGACTCACCCACCTGTCTCCTGCTGCTGGACGAAACTTTGGACGACATCGCGGTATCGCTGCACACAGACAGACAGACAGACAGAGGGAAGAGCAGCGATGCCATTCCTGTCCCCCTTGTTTTGTCCATCCATCCATCCATCCATCCGACGAGGCAGACCTGGACGAGCGCATAGAAGTCGCTGACATCATGCACCTCCTGAAAGTAGAATGTGCAAATGAGCAAGGGCCAGGCACATCACACGGGTATGTATGCGTCCACTGATGCCTGCACGTCCTTTGCCCACAGAACATACCTCGTGTCTGCGGGCGGTGTGGTAGAAGTAGCGGGCAGCCTTGCGCAACACATGAGCCTGGGCACACACAGCACAGAGAGCGATGATGATGATGATGATGGAGACACAGACAGACAGACAGACCCCTTAGCTTAACCCTTGTGGAACCGACCAGGAATGGCTCTGCCTTCAGATCGACCTCATAGATGCGAGCCAAATCCTATATATGGCCATCGATCGCAACACACCGCAGGCAAAGCAAGCAGGCTGCCTCCCTCCCTCTATCCCTCCCTCCCTCCATCCCACCCACCCACCCGACCACCGACCGACTCACCTTGATGGTCGTGTAGCAGTCAGCGAGAGACAGCAGCCGTGGGGGCCGGCCGCCGCCGTCAAGACACGCCGCAACCTCCTCATCCCTTCAGTGGGCCAAGAGACACATGCGGTTGGTGTCGGCTGTCCATGGGGGATGGATGGATGGATGGATGGCTGGCTGCTCACTCTTCTCTGATGACTTTGTGCATGAGCATTTTGATCTGAAAGGCGGCGATGGACCGCCAGTGGGGCACCGGGCGGTCCCGCCGACCCGCGTCCAACAACTCCCTGACAGAGAAATAAGTACATACAGAAACAAACAGCCCGGTGAACAACAGACAGAAGAGTGGATGGCTCTCAGCCAGCCTATGTGCTCACTTGTATTTGTCGGCGTGTGGGTGCTTCCAGGTGCTCTCATTCTTGCGCGTGTCGACCCAGTACACCTGCACACAGACAAAGCAGCACACCACACCACATGGCACCAGTGGTCCCATGGGCGGGGCGGTGTGCGAATGGATCCTTCAAAGGGGTGTGGTGTCTAACTTACCAGTCCGTCCACGATGTTTTGCTGCAGGTGGTTGGGTAGCGGCTCCTTCATCATAACCTCCACCACCCACCGCAGCATCTCGTCGCGGGCAGGGTCGTATCCAAGATATTTCCCGTACTCTTAATTAACACGCCCCATTTAATGACACGCACAGAGAGACACGATACTCCCTCCCTCCCTTAGTAAGGTGGGCTTCAAAAGAGCATTTTACCGACCTTCGAAGCTTGGCCCCGATCCCTCCCCACAGCCCAGCACTTCCCCCAGCCCACTGGTGGTGGTCCCCTTGTCGCTGCTTAGGTGCTGCTGGATGGCGTCGTCAGCAATGCCAAACACCCACCACGGCCCCTTCTCAAAGTGAGCAAGATTGCCGCCCGCACGCTTGTCGTCCGGCTGTCCGCCGGGGGCGCTGGTCTGTGTCTTGCCGCCGGCCTGAAGGGTGGCGGTTGTGGCGGCGGCCTGCTTGAGTGTCTTGACGAGGTCTGCCCACATTCGGTGGATGGAGCCGCTCCATGGCAGGGCGGTCAGATCCTCCTGCACCGCACTCCGGGGCAAATAGATGATCTGCTCGTGGGCAAGGTGAACGAATTGTGTGTAAGACATGAATCTCGTTGCTGGCTGGTCGTGGTCGGACCTGGTATTCCGGTCCGTCCCGTCCTTCGCGCGTCATGAAGATGATTTCGTCCTCACCCCACTTGCTGACGGCCTTGTAGCCCACGGGGATGATGAACTTGTCCTCGGCCACGTAGTTCCTCTCCAATGCCGCATCCTGCACACACATATGCACAACGCACGAGCACACACACATAGACACCCTCCCTCCCCCTCCCCCTCACCCCTCACCCCTTCGTATTTGTGACCGATCTGCATGACCATCAGGGGCGAGTCGCCCCGCATCAGCAGGAAGCCATCACGCTCGTTCCTCTTGAACTCTGACAGCTGCAGCACACGAATAATAGTGTCACACAGACAACGAGCCCCACCTGCACAGTGAAGGGGCTGGAAGGTGCGTGCGGCTCGTTCACCTCTTCTGTTTTCTGAATGGTGAGGAGATCCTCCTTTGGGGCGGCGTCTTGCTGCTGCATGGCTGCGATGGGGGGTCACTAAGTAACTCAGTTCACGTTGAAGACGGGGGGTCAATGGGGGCGCAATGGGGCCTCAACGGCTGCAGTGGGCGGTTTCTGAGTCTCTGGATGGGTGGGGGATGACTGACTGATGGGAGGGCAGGGCAGGGCAGGGCGCGCAGTCGGTTGAGTGGACTGACCGAGGCACAGACGATGATGAGTGCGAGCAGGAAAGATCGAATGAGACACTGACTGACAGCATTCGTCTCATTCGCTTTGCACGTGTGGCCCGGCCCGCAGTCCCCTACGTATATCCCTAACAGCCAACCGGTCCTCACTCACGCAGCTCAATTCGGCTTTTCCCGATCGGATCCCTCCCGTCCGTCCAGCCGAAAAAGATCAGTGCGCTTTGCACGCTGCACTGCCCACCACCAACACGACCACATCCATCCAGCCATCCATTCACACGAGAAAATGGTCTCAGCCAGCCAGACTCGCAGAGGCAAACGGGCAGCCAGACAGCCAGCCAGCCAGCCAGACAGAGAGGGACAAAATCGCGAGCAACTAGACTGACTTCGTGTCTGCAGGGCGGAGGTGTGTGTGTGTGTGTGTGTGTGCGTGTGTGAAGATTGTCTATCTGACTAAGGCTGTGGTCTCGACTGCACGACATAGATGGTGGTGTCTACGATGCAGCCCTCGACGTCCTGCGGGCCGCCCAGCTTGCTCTCCAGGAACGACCCGATCGCTCCCAGACGACGCGCAAACGCCTCGCGAAATGACGGGTCGGTCACTAAGACATCCTGCACTCACACACAAATGAATGAACGAACCACTTAGAAAGAGTGGCATGCCACACGTGCCTGTGTGTAGTCGATGACGACTTTCTTGACGAGTGTGTCGGGCTCCTGGTCCTTGACGTCTTCGATGGCCTCACCGATGGCACTGAAGGACCGCTTCCGCGGCAAGACGGGCACCTGGGCGTAGCTGTAACTCGCAAACGACAGGATGCGCACCTCACCTGAATGGATGGACGGACACATCACACACACCACATCCACCACATCCCACCAGACAGACAGAGAGAGAGAGAGACAGACCGGTCCGTTTGTTGACGACGAGTCTGTATGGGGTGCCCCTGACGGCGCCCGACGCGAGTGTCTCGCCGAGCCCCGGGGCGATCTCGGCATACAGCTCTTCCTTGTCCTTGCTCAGAGGGTTCACCTGCCACACAACACACACAGAGCCCACAAGCTAAGCAAGCTACACAGAGAGAATAGAATGTGCTGTGCTCGTGTGTGTGGTACAGCGCACCGACCGTGTGAAGGACGAACGAGTGAGAGGGCGTGAGCAGCTCCTGCACCAACACAGCCATGTGGGCCTCGTGCTGCACACACACACCAAACCAAACACACACAGACACACACACGGACACACAGCCATATGGCTCTCCATCCATCCGTCCATCTCTTCGTGTGTGGGGTGCCTGCCTGTCTCTGTCCGGCAATCCGCCGGCTGAAAACGGCCCGTCGGCTGAAGAGCGATTTCCACACGCCGCGGACCGCTGAGGAAAACCTGCAGACACACACACACGAGTGCGATACATGGGAGGGAGGGAGGGTGGGTGTGGGTTTAGACAAGTGCGCTGCTTACTTGTCGACGCAGTGGCAGTTGACATTTGGGATGGAGTCGTAGAGCCCCGCCGCACTCATACCCGCCAGATCCTCTACGTTGGCCGACGAACGAACTATCAACCTATCAATCACACACACACACACACACACAGAGAGAGAGAGAGAGAGGTCGTCAATAGGGGGAGCTTCCATTTCTATGTGTCTGTCAGCTTATGTGTGTGCCCCCCCGATTGGCGCACCTCGAGTCAGAGGTGAATCTGTCCTGGAGCTGTGCGATGACTCTGGTGTCGAGGGGCAGGGACTCGATGGCGTCCTGCATCTCCTGGCAACACTCATCCAGCTCCTTGCCCTATAATACACACGGAACATGTGACACACACGCACAGGCACAGGCACAGGCAGAGAGAGAAATGGACGACGTGTTTGGCTGTGGTGTGGTGTGGGTGTGTGGGCTGCCTTGAGGTTCGCGGCGTCGAGTGCGGTGTACAGCTTCTGGAAGAGCTGTCTCTCCCCGTCTGTCGTGCACATGACCGCCTCCATCGTCCCAAAGGGAATGACCGCACCCCTTTTACACACACACACACACACACACATGACGACAGCTGGCTCCAGCAGCTGGTTTATGTGTGTAGACAGACTATTAGCTCACTTTGGTGTCTTGAAGGTGGCATCGTGGTCCTCCACGTTGACGGCCTCGTTGCTCAGACGGGCGAGCATCCCGCACACGGCGCTCTTGCTGCCACCCTCCTGCACACACACACACACACACATCCATCCATCCCCTGTGGCTTGGTGGCGTGATGAGATGAGCTACCCACCTCCTTAGTAACGTGCTCGACATCGATGACGTACGAGCCGTCAGAAAGCCTGACTTCGGGTGCGCTGCCGGGTGGCTGGAGGTCGTGCTTCGACAGGCAGTGGCGGGGCGAGTCGATGTCCCTGCCCAACGTGCGATGGATGCGAAGATCTCCGCTATATGTTCGCTCCGCTTGTGTGCGTGTGCGCGTGCCTGATGATGCCCGAGTATTTTCTGACGAACAGTTGTCTCATGGCGGCCTCGTCGACCTCATATACCTCCACTCCTTGAGACGACGCCTCTACCCTACACACACAGAGATGACAGCCGTCCGTCCGTCCGTCCGTCCGTCTGTCTGTCTGTCAGGTGCATGTTGGTCCATTGTCTGTCTTTACCTGACGATTTTGCCCTTGAGTGCGGCCACCCCCTTGACCTCATCCGAGTCCTCACATGTCACAAACACCACGCCCTCCTGCCGCGCGCGCACTCCTGACGCACACAGCACACACACACACACACACAGTGAGAAAACCCATGTGCCATCCATCCATCCATCCAGTGGATGTATTTCCTGTTGTGTGTGTGTGTGTGTGTGCGTGCGAGTACCTACCGAGGTGGCTGAGATGCGGGAGGTCGTGTCCCAGTATGATGGCGTGCACGTTGCTGTCGCCCACGCCACCTATCTCCTCGTCGCCTGTCGCGGCCCGGACCAACATCACATACGGACCACCTGCACACACCACACCACCGATGGGCACATGGATGGATGGATGTAGCCCTGCGTGTGTTGTGTGTTGGTCGATCGTGTGCTCGCCTTCGGGGTCCGGCCACTTGGAGGGCTCCAGTGAGCTGACGTCCACGAGAGTGCCGCAGGTGGTGCCCGCGACGATGGGGTCGAAGCCCCTCTGCTCCAGCAGACGACGGAGGCGCTTCAGAAGCAACGTCGACAACTTGGACACCTGCATCCATCCATCCATCCACCCATCCATCCATCTCGAGGGGGAGGGAGGGGGGGGGAGAGGTATGTGTGTGTACCTGGAAAGTGACGTTTGCGCGTATGTCGGCCTCGGCAAAGACCTGAATGGCGTGGTGTGGTGCGCCGAAGGCCCGGCCGAGGTCCTGCACTCGAGGGGGGTATATCGACAATACCAAATCGCAGTAGGCCTGCACAGAGAGATCCAATCCACATGACATGCGCCAAACAAACATTAGCTGGGGGCATGAGCGAGGTCACTGGACTCGAGTCACCTCAGCGAGGCGTCGTGTCCTTTCTAGTGTGGCCTTGAGCAGCAGCTGCTCCTCACGAGTCTGCAACGACCGGCGCGGCTGGTGCGTCAGCTCCTGCACGACACACACAGAGAGACACAGACAGGCCAGCAGTGTCGGAGTGCGTGTGTTGTGTGTGTGGTTTGCGGACCGCCCAATCGACTGACCTTGTAGATGGCCATGCACTCGTCCCTTCTCATGCCATTGAGCTGCACGTGGCGCACGCCCCATGACAGCGCCTACACACACACAGACACACAGACAGACAGACAGACCGGAGCGATGTGTTGACCTGTATCAGTCTGTGTGTGTGTGAGTGTGTGTGTGAGGGACGGAACGCAGTCAGTGTACCTCTAGTGTGTCGCCCCATCGCTCCTCCTCGTTGGCCTTCTGCTCGATGCGGCTCAGCAACACAAACGCCGCGCGCTCCAAATCTATCTCCGCCAAACGCCTGACACGACGGGCGGCCAAACACACACCAGATATGATCATACTCACTGTGTGGGCGGCGAGTCGAGTGTGTGCGTGTGCGTGTGCGTGTGCGTGTGCGTGTGCACTCACTTTTGCTGGAGCATGGCGACTTCGTTGTCGATGGGGATGCCCGCCTCCTGCACCTGACGCACCAGCGCCATTCGCAACTCTGTCGCCACCTGCAGAACGGCCAATGAGAGTGGGTGGGCGAGGGAGTGAGCATGTGGCCCGACCCACTTTGAGGTTGACGAGCAGTGTGGCGAAGTTCGCGTCAGGCCGGTCGGAGCGTGTCTTGCTGTCGCAGAACCGCTTCAACATCTCTACACACACACACAGAGGAGAGAGAGAGACAGGGTATGTCGCACTCACAGGCCAGCGTCACACACACACATGCCATGCCAATGATTGGCCTTCGCGCGAGTACCGTACCTAGCGTCCTTCCGTCCAGAGTGCCCTGCAGCTTGTCGAGCCGCTCCAGCAGACCACTGGCGTTGAAGAACTCACGCAACTCCTGCACACACACACACACACACACAGAGAGAGAGAGAGAGAAAAGAGGGTCGCCTGTGTGTGTGTGTGTGTGTTGTGTGTGTGGGGGGAAGGGGGAGGGGTCTTGCTTCGCTGCTTTCCTTGTAGAATTTCTCGAACTCTTGGATGAATCCCCCGGGGTATTGGTGGCGGTTGGAGTGGAATCGCTGCAGCATCTTCTCTGTCGCCACCAAATCTGACACACATTACAGTGACCGCACACACACACAGCTCATCCCAGACACACTGACTGTCTGCACGGCTAGTTAGTATCAACCAGGTCGGAGACAGACCTTCGGGGCCGGCGCATCGGTGCAGTTTGTTCTGGAGGGTGTGCTTCAGCTCCTGCGCGGCACCACAGGCAGACAGACAGACAAGCTTATATGTGTGACCCTCTTTGCCTTCCTCCCTGCCGCAAGACAGACCTGTTTGAGATCGTGTGGTATGTCGTTCCGATGCGCAATGTCGCGGATGCGCGTCAGCGGCACAGAACTGGTGGGTGTTAGTCAGTCACATGACGCCAGCCAGGAGACAGAGGCCATCACAGCTATTGTCTTGCGTGTGTGCGTGTGCGCGTGTGTGTGTGCGTTGGTACGCCGTGAACTCGGATGTGAAGGCGGGCAGGTTGGGGTGCACCTTACGCATCACCACACGCAGCGTGTCAGCCTGCTCATACACACACATATGCAGAGAAAAGGAGGCATGTACCGCGCCCCCCTCAGGCCGCATCCACCGCACCGCAGCGCACCTGCGTGTCGTCTCTCCGAGAGAGGTCCAGCAGGATCCGCTCCAACACCGTGAACACTACCTTGGACAGATTGGCGTGGTGGTTGGGCCTACACACACACACACGCCCACGCACACACACACGAATCAATAGCCAGACAGACGTGGCTGTGTGTGTGTGTGTGTGTGGTCGCTGCATGCCTGTGGTGTCCGCCGTCCTCGACGCACTGCACGATGCCCGTCTGGATGAAGTTGAGGTATATCGACACGTCAACCAACGCGTGAGCCGCAAGGTCTTCACACAACACATCACATCACAATACAACACACGATCGGTGGCATTAGCCTATGGATCTCTCTCTCTCTCTCTGTGTGTGTGTGTGTGTGTGGCTGACCCCCCTGTGCGTTGTCCTCCTTGGGGCTGACGTGGAGGTTCTCGACGACCTCCTTGACCACCCCCAGTTTGTTGCGCCAGCTGCCCGCCTTCTTGTCGCCCTCAACCAACTGACGAGCTGAACCTGCAGACACACACACACAAGGGAGAGAAATCCGTTTAGACGGATGGATGGATCTCTCTGCTGGCCTGGCTTGTATGCACCTGAGAGGTGAGTGACGTCCCACTGCTGCTGTCTGTCCCGATGGATGCCGGAGCGAGAACGGGCGAACTGCACCTCACGACCCTGACACACACACACACAGAAAGACACACATGCACACACACATCTCAGGAATTGCTATGTCTGCTGTCTGTGTTACCTACCAGCCAGGCGTTGGTGAACGACTTTTGCGCCTCGGCAGCGATGTCGGCCGCACTGATGGGCGGGGGGAAACCACCTGACACACCCACACCAACACCTCCGCCACCATCTGACACACACACACACACAGACACAGACACAGACACAGACAGAGAGGCATGTCACACAGGCAGGCACCCCAGGCCGCATTCATTGGCATCAGTCAATACATTGTGTAGTTAGATCCTTACCGGCACTCGGCGAGCCCGGTGAGGCACTGCCAGTCTGGCCTGACGCAGTGGATGCGCTGCTGGAGCCCAGGCCGCCTGCTGCTGCCGTGCCGCTGACCACCGACTGATCGCCCTTCTTGTCTAAACCATAGACACATTCGCAACATGCAGCACATGCAGGCCTGTATCATGCATGTTAGGCGAGGCCGATCCAATCCAATCCGATCTGTCTGTCTGTCTGTCTGTCTGTCTGTGTCCTCACTCACCAAAGGCGCACTTGATGGTGACCTCGCCGTTGGAGAGAGTCACCTCACGATTGCCTGACCACACACACACACATAAACATAAAGTCCAACATCGCCCGCGTGTGTTGCATGTGTTGATCTCCCATCCATCCATCCATCCATTATCTCCCTCCCTGACCTCACCTCCGAATCGCTCCCAGTCCTGCCCGCCGTGTCCGAGTCGCAGGACAAACTTGAACTCTATCTTGTGCTGGGCCGGCAGGCCCACACGGGCGCTCCGCCATATCGGGTACGTGGCGCCGTTGAGGGGCAGGGCCTTCCCGACGTCCCAGTTGCCGAGCTCACCCACTCCCCCGATGAGGCAAAGCTCGTCGCCCGGCTTGGTCCTCTCGCAGTGACACTCGAACACCGCCTGGGCCATGATCCCGTTGGCTGCACAGGCGTCACACACAGATAGATGGCTCGAGTCCGGAGTGCTCAGTATGTATGTGTTGGTGCGGTATGGATGGATGGCACAGACCAGTTGATAGATGGGCGGCTGTTGCCGTGTAGTCGAGGGCCTCCCTGGCGTTGGACGCTCTCTTTTCGGCAGATCCCCTTCCTTGAAAAAGCCAAGCTCGCACTTGGAAACCGCCAGGGGGGCGATTCAAGCTGGAGGGAAGGCAAGGAGCACACGCACAGAAAAAGAAAACACAGCACAAAATACACAAGCAAAGCAAGTTGTGTGCGTCTGTGTCTGATGATCTCTCAGAGCGCTGATAGATCTGATTTGCAGTGTTGAAGTACTGGAGTACCTACCATGCACGGCTCCAGTAATCCATGGGACACAGTCGACATCGGCCGCTTTTCTCTGATCAAAGGGGTAGGGAGGGAGGGAGCAACACAGACAGACAGACCTGGAGGCATGCATTGCTTGTGCTGCGCTGCACGTGACACTGATGCGCATGCGTGTTTAGGTGATATCTTTGGCAGAGCAATGTGTAAGATACACAACCACCTGTGCCAACGCCCCTTTACACTGTCTGTCTGTTGTCTGTCTGTGTGTGTCCTTCAGTTTTGGTACCCCCTGTCCCTGTTGAAGACTCAGCAGCAGGTGATGCAGACCAGGGCCGCCATGGACAGGGCAGTATCGGGAGGGGCCACCGCTGCCCCACTGCACGAGTCCACTCTCATGCACATCGTGAGCTTGCTGAAGAGGAGCGGTGTCCGCGGCCTCTATCGTGGCTTTCTGTGGGGCGCGTGTCCGTCTGTCCCTGGTGACATCCTCTACTACACGGTCTACAACGTGGCCAAGAGCTCACTTCTGAAGCGGCGCGACAAGAGCACGGCTGCCACACAGACAGATGGGGATATGTGGGTGCGGTCTTTTGTGATCCCTGGGGTTGCCGGCGTCGCTGCCGATGCGGTGTGTCTGACCTTCTGGCTGCCCTTCGACATAGTCGCCCAGCACATGATGATTCAGGAGCTGCCCGCCACGCACAAGACGCACCAGCCTATCGGCCCCTCATCTCAGTCAAACAGCTGGCAGGTTATAAAGCACATTTACAGCCAGCAGGGGCTCCGGGGCTTCTTCCGTGGGTGGGGGGTGGCAGCGGCCGTCTACACGCCCTTCTCGGCCGTGTGGTGGTCATGCTACGAGACGAGCAAGGACGTCCTCTCACATCTCACATGGCCGGCAGCTGCTGTGCATTTGGCATCGGGCCTGGTGGCTGGTGCGATGGCGGCGTTTGTTACCCAACCGGTGGACGTGCTGAAGACCCGGGTGCAGACAGCCATGCCGATTCCGCCGTGTCACGAGCCGGGCCGCCATGCCGACGTGCTGATGGAGCACAAGGGGAGAGAGGCGATGAGCAAGGGGAGCGGACCCAACGGGGACTCGCCGGGTGAGTCAGTGAGTGAGATGAGTATGTCTGACTCGCGAGAGAAATCGGTATGCATGCCATGCCGGCCTTATGTTTGTTTGTGTGGATTTATTTGATGGATCAGGGATGCTGGCCCACGGCCGTTATCTGCTGAAGGCAGAGGGCATGCGCGGATTCTTCAGAGGTCAGACCAGACAGCTCACGAGTAGCGAGCGCACTCGAGCTGCGTGTGTGCTTGTGTGCAGGTGTGGTCCCGCGCGTGTGCATGACGGCGCCCAGCAGTGCGTTGTCCCTCTTCCTTTACGAGTACACTCTGCAACTGGCGCAGAACAGGTGATGCGGACGACAGGGGGTCGGTTTTGATACTGCCTGGACCGATTGCATTCTTAGCTATCGCTCACGCATCAGATGTGTATGTGTCGATATCCCTTTATATGCACTGTGAGTGAACGAACACGCAGATCAACAGCTTGCGTGCTGTGCTGGCTTGACGGGATTATCAAGTCGACAGACATAATGCACCTCCAAGAAGATGGCCACGCACGTCAGTGAGGCACGGACACAGACACAGACACTGCGAATCAATCGCAGAGACAAGAAGTAGTGCCAAGAGACACAAAGCGACACACGCATCTGCGCTCGGGGCGCCTCACTGCGCGAGGGGCCCCATGAGTGCACTGACTTACCTACACACACCCGGTACAAATACTGACAGCGACACACGCACACACGCACAAAACTGCGCCCAACGGCACAAGTCCACTGCGCCACACCCAATAAAGCGCCACATGACACACAGACAGACAGCCACCCTATGCACCAAGACACACACGTGTACAGCTACTACTCTGACTCAATTCATTGCACGGCGGCTAGCCTACAGCGCCAGTGCAGTGCCCTTGTTCTGCTGCGACCGACACAGCTGCTCAGCTCCCGCGCCAGTCATGTGGTCGGCCTGTCCCATATTGATACCCAATTGGAAATTCATGTCGAGGTGACACCGGTATCCGCTGCTGTAGTTGATCAACACCTGCTGCCTTCCTGTCGTTAAAGCCGTGCTGTTGGACTGCAGGACCAAAGCCATTGTGAGCCCCTGGGACCGGTCAGAAGGGTCAAAAAGGTCCAGCTCTGTGGACGAAATAAGGAACTGGTTTTGCCTGAAGTCGAGAACGCGGCTGCACAAACAGAGGCACGCAGAGACACACAGAGACATTTGCATGTCTCCGTCTGTTTGTGTTGTGTTCTTTGACCTGGTAGAATCAAAATGCGGTCTTGCTATTGGGTTCTCTTGAGCAAAAGCTAACGGCTCGACCATGTCTTCGCTGCTAAGAAGGTCGAGCCCGATGTCAGCCGCTATGTTGGCATCCTTGTTTTTCTTCATGAGTTCTGGCGCAGCATTTGTCCACCTGGAGACTCTCCCAGCCTCATCGAGCGCAACGTAAGGCTCCTCAGCCAGAAAGAGACCGACCATGCCGCGAGTGGTCAGTGGCAGACGGGCTGATCAAGACCCACACACATGTCAACCTCATCTGTGTCCGTGCTTTGTGCCAGTGATTTCACCAACTAACCTTTGGTAAGGGGGGTTTGGCGGTCTCTTTGCCTTTCCCATCTGTGGAATGCCTCGTACACGTCGTTGATCTCATGGCTGGGTGTGCGCGGCTCCTCAAGCAGGCTGCGGCGCCAGAATCCAACCATACGAATGGACCCTACACACACAGACAGCCAGCAAGTATTGCACTGTAGGAAGCGCCCGGAGGTCGCTCACCGTGAAAGCAATTGTCTGCGAGCATGAAGTGCGTGTGATGGCCCGCCACATCGTTAGTCGCTTCCTGCGTCTGTCTTTTTTTGCCAACATTCTCAAGCATCAACCGACATCCCAACTCAATCGGCGCCCCCTGAGCAGACCTGTGGGACGCCATCTGGCGCGCCCATCGAACCACTTGGAACTTTTGTATCTCGAGGGGCACAGGTCTCACTCGCGGCCCTCGTAGCCGCTCTTTCCCTTGTTCTCTTGTTATAGGTGCAGCGAACATGCGCAAGTAATACGAAGTGACGTTGTGGCCCTCTGCCGTTGGGGACATCTTGACGCCTCCGTGAGGGCTGGCGACGGCCTCCAGACCCCGGGCAGAGAAAGCCAACCCGTCAGAGCCTCTGAATGGGTTAGAGGTGTCGAGCTGAACTGCGCCGACCGTGACAGCAAGCAATGTCGGGTTTGCTTGGAGGATGGTGGCGCCCTTGATGGCGTGAGGGCCGCTGGCACTCTCGTGACCGGGGCCTCCTGATACGCCGATATTGCCTATCGCTGCACACGCGCACACACAAACAAAGCCGACAGGAATTGCAACAGAGACATGGCAACGCGCGCGTATTCCCTCCCTCCGACCCCAGCCAGCATTGAATACCCCAGCATTGAATGGTTGAGTTCCACTGTCCATTGGTGCACTTGGCACGCTTGGAGCACCGGTGGGCCTCTTGCACAGCTGACGGCAGTGAGAGGGATGGTGTGTGGCAGTGGGCCTCATAGCCGGCCTTGCACTGAATGGGGTAGACGGTCTCGCCGGGAACCGATCTCACAGGCTTGACAATCGCCATCCCCCCTCTTTCTGCAATCGGTTTCGATTTGACGGCTTCAAGACGCTGGAGCCACCAGGCGGGACATCGGGCTGACCGACAGTGACATATAGCAGTCAGGGAAGAGAAGAAAGAATATGAGCATTTTGCTTGTACTCCGGCAATTCATCCCCGGCTTACGCTCGCATTTGAGTCCCTTGAGTGGCGTCCAGTGCGGCAGAGTATTGTTAGAGTATCGCTGGTGCTTCAACGCCATCTGGTCTCCCTTGCTGGCGCAGAATGTCGCCTCTTTGGTGATGCCCATAAGGCCCTCGCTCGGCAAGTAGAAAGGCTCGTTGCATTTGAAGGTGATGGATGCCCCCACTGCCCTCGACAGATGCAGGGGCGGCGCAGAGCTGTCCACACGATACACATAAGGGTTCATTTGAGGCCAGCTCGGACACAAGGATCCTGAGAGACGCACTCCGCCAAAGACACATTCGTCCGTCAAAGTTGTGAGGATCTTACCTGACGGCAGGTTGGCGTCTCTGGGATCGAATGGCGACTGCACCCTCGCGCAGCGCTGTAAGTAGCGAACCAGGTGAGTCGACAATCCTTTGGGGAACGCGCCAGCGAATTCTCCTGCGAGTTGTGCACGCGGCTTGATGCTCAAGAACGGACGCACTTGAGCGCCACCGGTATACTGAGCGAAGGACAACAGGCAGGCGAGCATTTGGATCTAATGTGAGCAATTTCTGTGGGGCATGTACTGTGAGAGAAATGTCCGCATCCCCCGGGTTGACAATGACAGAAGTCGAGACCTCGCCTCGCTTGAGCCAAATGACGACGGGCTGGTCCACGTCCGGCTGGGCCCCGGACGGCAGCTTGATGCCCACATCACCCTCCCCGGTCGCCAGCACTGGGAGCAGTGTTTGACGCGTCGCTTGGAAGCTAGTTGAGCAGAAGACGATCTCAATCAGCCTCGCGGTCTTCTGGACACCGGCCGCCGATATCTCTTGCAATGTCTCGTTTGCCAGCGGTCCAGTAAGGGTTGCGACGAGGAAGGGGTGGAACGTGTCGGGGAGGTTGATGTCGCTCTCGTACTCCACAGTCAGTTTGGCCATGTCTCCTTGGAGCACAACACGAGTTCCCACTGCTGATAGCACGGTGACGGGATGCATCAGGTCGGGCACCTTGCGAGACGGCAGAGGGAAGCGTAGTCGGTAGCCACTGATCGTTCCCACGATGTTGACGGCTTGGTAAGAGCTAAGTCGTGCTGGACTGCCTTCTGGAACGGCCTCGATGATCTGACGGTCGAGCTCCGGGAATGGGCCGTCTATCACGAGGAAAGGCCAAAGTGTGCCGGACGGGGTGGTGCGGTACTGAACAAAAAGTAGACGCAGGAAATTCAAATATGTGACATTCGCACTTTCCGCTCACCATGATTTGGCAGTGAATCCTGAGCTCGATACAGTTGAAGCCGACAGTATGGTTCGACTCATTCACAGGTGCTCCGAGGTCGCCTCCCGTGGTGGCTGTGTCGTTTGGCTGTGCGCCTTGTTCCCTGTCACTTTTGTAGTCGTGTGCATCTGAAAACGACTCAGTGACTCAGCTAAGGCTGTTCATCCCTTCATTGACTGTATACCATACCTGTTGCTTGCGCCGAGCTGCCCTCGGTCTCTGCATCGCTTGCCTCATCCATCACGAGCTTGGCCTGCAGCACCTGGAAGTACGATGACGGCACGGTGTCGTTTTCAGGAATATTCAACTCAATGTCTTGGGTAAGGTCGAGATCCAATGTCGAGCCAGGGGTGATCAGGATGATCGTGTATCGCCCCATGTAGACGTGCAGTGGGCCGTCGCGCGCCATGCTTTCGATCCGCTTGATCGCAGTCACATTGAGCTGCTCGATGTGGAGGTACGGCATGTCCTCCCCCTCACTGTCCGTCGTGTACTGACGACAAACATGCCATTAAACAAGAAAAGGCATGGTCCTCAATCTGACGATATGATCGGTGTGTAAAGGGCACCTTGAGAAAGACATCCTTAACGTTCGTATCAATGAACAGCTTCTTCGTCACATCTCTGGGACTTTCGATGGTGAATGAGTTTCTGACCCGCAGGAATGAGCCCCTCAAATATGTATCCACTGTGTCAGGCAGATAAGAGGCTGAGAGCGGTACCACAACTTCATGGAACATCAGGAGGCCGGATCGAATGACGTGGTAGACGTTCGAAGCAGAGGACCTTCGGTCACCAGTCGTTATTGCTGTTTCGAGCATGACGATTGTACGTGCTCCCGTGGCGTTACTCACGTCGCTGGGTATTTCGTCCTCGTCATAGGCCACAACAAAGATGCTCACGTCGACCGCCTTACTCTCCGTTGCCGATGGGAAGAGTCTCTCGAGGAATTCTTTGAGCTCAGGGCTGTCCTGTGTGGCAGTAATGCGAAGGTGGTGTTCTATCTCCCCAGCTCCACCAGCGGCACGAATCTGCACACACGCATATGATGTGCAAGCGGGCGGCATACGCAGTGGGACACATAAGAATCTTGACTGACCCTTGAGACCACATACTTTAGAATCAGCCTTCACGTCCGCCCCATCAATCGTCAGCAGGCCATCCTCGCCTGCAAGTGTGATGTTCTTGGTAAGATCCACCACAAAGTTGCCCGGCAGGTCCATCTCGATCCAATGACGGGTCCCTGTACAGACAGGCTTGATCATGACCGACGGGCGGAGGGGCGGGGCTCCGCCAATCGGGCCGTACTGAGGGCCCTCTGGAAGGGATGGAGGGAATGGAGTCATGACGACCTCCTCGGCAGGTGGCGCCGGCTTGCCCACTTCTGGCTTGGGCGGGAGGGAAATGTCGTAATCACCCGGCGGCACTTTCGGATTGGGCTGCTTTATCACGATCTCTCCATCGACGATGTCAAACTAACCAACCAACCAACCAACCAGCGAGCCACAGGCAGACAGCCATCAAGCCAATCGAGGGATGGTGAGCCAGGGAAGGGGCTTTGCATCTGTGTGTCTCTGTCTATGTGTGTGTGGTGGTTGGCTATTAA